AAGACATTAATAATACAAATATTAAAAAGGAACAAACACCACTCTGAGAAGTGGTAAACAAAAGCAATATTAAAAATGCAGTCAAAGCAATAAGGCATAAGAATCTATTTAAAAACCCCGCTCAGGCAGTCAGTCACTGAGGGAAAATTTGCCTGAAGAGAAAGGTCTTTGCCTGCTTGCGGAAGGACCACAAAGATGGGCCCAGCTTGGCTTCCAGTGGGAGGGAGTTCCAAAGTCTGGGAGCAGCCACAGAGAAGGCCCTTCTCCTGTGTCCCCAACAAGCGGACCTGTGAGGGTGGCAGGACCAAGAGAAAGGCCTCCTCTGATGAGCTTAACACCCAAGCAGGCTCATAATGGGAAGCAGAGTCCTTGAGATAGTTTGGACCCATTTAGGGCTTTATAGGCTAGAACCAGCACTTTCAATTGTGCCCGGAAACAGATCAGCAGCCAGTGGATCTGCTGTATCTGGGGGGGTTATCTGATCACTGATTAGTAATCAGGCTGCCACGTTTTGGAGCAACTGAATATTATTACTATTACTATTACTTTTTAAAACTCCAGAGTCTAACTATAAATGAAATAGAGATTCTTCAGATAAGAAGCATCAAACTGCAGACTCCAAAATTCAGGCAAAGCGCATTATTATTATTGAAAAACAATGGCACAGTTAATCAATATTATAAAAACATTGACTGGTATTATATAACAGACACAAGTTTTAACTCAAAAGCTAAGCATCTGTTAAATATCGGTGCAGTACGTATGCTCTTCCTAATATTGCCATTTTTTGTAGCGCTGATGGTGGTGTGATTTCTGAGATCTGCAACTCCTTATAGCACTGGGTGAAATTTCTTGATAGTGTTCCCAAAGCCCCAATGACTACGGGGACTACTGAAATGTGTTTCTTCCAGAGGCGAGATGTTTGGATGAGCAGGTCTCTGTATTTTGTTGGTATTTCCAATTCTTTATCTTCAACTCTGGCATTCCCTGCAATTGCAATGTCAATGCTCCAGGCATTTCTTCATTCTGTTACTACTACATCTGGTGTGTTATGTTCACGGTGTCTCTCTGTTTATCTGCTTGGATCCAGAAATCATTATCATCATTATGATTACTATTATTAACAAATACCAGTCACAGTCAATTAAAATTACGAAAACATTGACTGATATTATATAACAGTACAAGTTTTAACCAAAAATCAGTTAAATATAAGTTTATTGTATATGCTATTTCTAATACTGCTTTTTTGTAGTTCTGATGATGCTATTTCTGAGATTCAAGGTGGTGGTGGTGATGATGCTTCTGATGATGATGATGATTGCTGGTCCTTAATTCAAAGGGACATATTCAAAACAAAAGACAAAGTGGAGAAGAGCTGAAGTGAGGAGCAAAACAGGTACCTCTATGACATGGAGCAAATCTGCTTTCCTTATTTCTAAACACTCTTGCCTGACTCGGGAGCTTTTCCAGAGATCCGTAGCCAAGATCGCCTGCTTTGACTTCCCTGGGACATGACATACAAATTGCTGTTTTTCCAAACCGTTCCTTGGCAGAAGGCGTCACGCATAGGAAAGCTGATGAGACTGTTCACATCGGTGCTGAACTGAACTCCCACCCGAGAACAATTCTGCTTCAGGAGGGGGTGGGTGGGAAATTATTTTAAAATAATCAACTGCCTTGTAGGTCAGGAATGGGCACAGCCAAATCAGGGGCCAGCAGGCGACGTCACTGCAAGGGTAGGCTGAAATTTGCTAGACAGTGAGAGAACGGCATATTGTGCAATAAAATTATTGTAGGGAGAAATTGCTTTTCCCCCTATTTGTTGATGGTTCTATTTACATTAATTAGTTTCAGCCACTGCAAATTCAAGCTGCTAGGTCAGGGATTCGCTACATATTCCTTCATTTTAAGAACCCAGGTGAACAGCAATTAGGAAGACACCCACTGTATTATCTCTGTTGCGGTTACAAAACCGGGACCTTTTGCTGTCAAGTTTATTTCCCTGTTCCTTCTTAACAGGGGCTGGGGGACATCTGGAGCTTTTCTTGACCAGGGATGTGAACATCTGTCTTTGCTGATGCTGCTGCTGTTGCATTTCACAAAATCATTTTGTTCACATTGCTCCAGAAGTCTTCCCCCACCCACCCACCTCACTGGCCGAAAAACGGAGATAGATGAGATCTCGCCATTGCTGAAATTCTAGGTGAGACACGGGTTCAAGGTGAGGACAGCCCTTTCCACAGGATAAGACAGCATCTCATCCTACTTGAGAGATGTCACCTCTAGCACAAGGATCGAGGTTCTTCCCTATCACAGCATGCACAATGCCCCCAAATCGGCTTTTATGCGAAACTATCCCTTTGCAAAACTCATGGTGGGTGTTTTTTTTTTCCCTTTGTGAGGCTAAACACACAAACAGGGAGGGGGGAAGCATGCAGAAAAGGACAACATGATTGATCACAAAGGGACCCAACATTAGCCAATGGGGTTATTTTTGTTAGTCTTTGCAGTGAAGCCACGTTCCATTTCCAAGTCTCCACAATGCCCCAAATTTCTCTAACGCTGACCAAATACACCACACCATCCTGAAGAAGTCCCTCCCTCCACTGTGCCATTTGCAGAGAGAAGAGGAACTGGGATTGCAGTATTTACATCCCTACCTAAAAGTACATGTACATTTTGTGTGCTCACTTCTCTGCCCCTGATATACAATAGGACCATCTTGTGTTCTGCCCCTGATATACAATAGGACCATCTTATGTGCAGGATCAGTATTTGCTGCTTCACTTATCCATAATCTAAAAATATTTAAAATATTAAAAGAAAAACCCTAGAAATATGTATTTCTAAAGATGAAGTTAGCAGAACTGGTCATTAGAGGGAGAGACCATGTTATGTACAGATTTCCCTAGAGAAATATACTTCCATGGTGTCATTACCAGTCCTGGCCAATAGAGGCAGCCAGGGACCGTGCTATGTATAGTGTTAGCAATAATCCACATTTTTCATCATCCACAGGGCAGCTCAGAACTGATGCCCTACAGATATGGGGATCCTACAGTATGTTGTTTTGTTATGCGCTTTGCCCACACATGTATCGTTGAAGGACATGATAGATTTTTCAAAGGTATACATTATTTTATGTACCTTTCTCATTGTCAAAACCAATTGCAAACCTTACTAATACCTCTAATTTCAAAGTCGAGATGTGCTTTCTCCTGCCGCCAAGAATATTTTGCTAAGGAATTGTAAGCTGAGTGAAACCCTTCCCCATGTCTAGACTTTACAGAGTTGGCGGAGAAAATATTCCGTGGAGGAGAGACTGCTGTAATGCTCCGTTGAACATGCAACAATGGGTTTACATCCAGACCTCAGCTTGAGCTACAGGTGGATAAACACGCTCACTAAATCCCTTCCTTGCACCAATTTAGTCTCTCCCAACCCACAAGACACCTGTTCTTCATCGCCTCTAGCAGGAGAGTGGGAGGATCAGCATCTTTTTTTGGGGGGGGGGTCTCTTGTTTCCTTGTGCAAAATGTCCCACTGCAAAGCGATCCTCCTTTCCAATTAATAAGCAAATCACACACAACACAAGCACAGAAGGACAGGTAGACCGTTCAGTAAAATACCAACAATCCCACCCAAAACTTTTAATTCTTAAAAAGTCCACGGGAAGAAAACAGGCATGTTATTGCTTGGACCTTTTGCATTGTTGGCGTTCTTCACTCAAAGGCGATTTTTTGCTGAGTGCAAAGCTCCAGGCAAGGCCCACAGAAAATATCTTGTCTGCCCCCCCTGCCAGGGGAGGAGGACAACGATGCTGTCGCTCATTCTTGTATCCAAGAAGACGGATCTTAGAACTGAATTGCTGGAAAGGACTCTATGGATCCTTGAGTCCAACCCTTGTCAAGGAAGCCTAATTGAGGGGGGGGGAATCAAACTGACCTCAACCACCGAGCTGTCAAGCAGTTCATGTTACCCTTTCAGCTGAGCCTGGCAGAGGGTAGTAGCAAGCCCACCCTATTCTGTTGCAGCGATTCTGTTCTCTCTCCCGGGCATCCCAAAACGGTCCCTCCGCTAGCCTAAGAGAAAGGCGTCTGCCTTCCATGGTATTCCCAGGGATACCAAAAATGGAAGCGTGCACCTCTGTTTCCCAAACACCCACCCCCACCCCACCCCCCCGGTAGGTGGGCCTGCTTGGTCTATTTGCTGTTTAGCGTGGCCAAGTGCTTTTGAATGGCCATTAGCGTCACCCATCAATGGCTCACTTTCTGCTCCACTTCACATGGCACTATCGCGCACAACGATCTCATGACCCACCCGCAGCGCCCTCGCTTCGTCATGTTCCGAGGCTCTGCTAGGAGCTTTTTCCTTCCCCATCAAACAAGAGAGGCCCGTCCTTTAGAAGCAACCGGGCTTCTGCTTCGGAGGGACCCGAGCGATTTGCTGTTGTCCTTCCTCACACGCGCGCACACACACCCCAGTCCTGGTGACAAATACATGGTGGGTGTCATCATTACTGAGCAGCTTGAAGTGCCGTGCAGTGTTGAGAAAAGGCAACACGGCCTTCCTCGGGCACCTTCCACCAAACACTCTCACACACCTGGCATAGAACCATCGCCTGTGGCTTTTTGACAACGATAACTAAAAGCTGAATGCATTTGCAAAATTAAGGTATATGCAGCACGGATGAAGCTTTGCATACCGAGGTCACCCTATTCTGAAATACGGTGAGGTCCATGCATGCCTACATGATCAGAGTCTTGCTTAAGGTGCCAATAAAACCTTGTGCAGATTGCTGTTGCTATAGGCAATAAGCAGACCCTGTTATCTACCATTCCAGAACTTGGAAGCAACCAGATGCATGTAAGTAGCTGGATGCAATTAGTTCCTTTTTCCAATAATGAAGGGGTAGCCATAACCTCTCCATAGTACCATTCGTAGCCCCTGCAGGCTTCCCGATTCTTTTCCCATGAAGCGTCGCAGTTCTCTCTTACCTCGTAATGCGCCACCCGCTGGGATTCCGATATCAATTGGGCGCTGCACACTTTGCAGTAACTTTCGGTGAAGAGGTCCTGGTCAATATCCGAAGACTTCATCTGCTTACGGGGACACAAAAAGAAGCAAAGCAAACAAAGGAGACGTGAGCCCTAATACCAAATGGCAGCAGACAGAGAACAGCACTTTGTTAAAAAAAAAAAAGCTGAGCAAATAACTTTTTTTCAGGAAAGTTAAAAGATAATAATAATAAAAGAAGTCATTACAATAAATCAGACCGGATCGGTAAAAAAGGGCTGTGCAATTATTTGAAATGTGGAAGGATAAGAGGCCCACAGTCTCCAGGGTCAGTGCATTGAGCAGCGTCATCAGTCTTGGGAGAATTTGCAAGAAAGGGCGGAAGGACAGCCCCGGAGCCTTTGACACAGCAGGGGGGAAAATTGTGCTTAGATCTCAGAGTTGTCATTAAAAGTCCCCGTTTCAAGATTTCACAACACAGAGTGTCCTACGCTTCCGTCTTCCCCCTTAGAAACCGTAGGTACCTCTGCAACTCTGCATTTCACAGCCAGAAGGAAAAGATTTGGCATTTGGGTGGCACCATTCGGGAATATGCCTGCTGCTGTTTCCCCTCCCAGTCCCCTATATGATCACTGAAATTGCAACATGCAATGCACGCATGCTGATCGACATGTTATCGCTGTCAAACCAGATATGATTTATAGTGGAGGCACAATTACAATACAATGAGCTTGAGAAGGAGTTGAGAGTAAACCCCTCGGTAGGTACAGGTCTGCTCCCTGGGGTACTTCCAACTGTATATGGGCAGGTTCAAGGTCCCTTGTTTCCCTCTTCAAGGCCATTGATCTTTAAATCAGACTTGGATTAGACCTTCAAATGGAGGATACTGTGGCAGAGTTTTGAATTCATGATTAAATTTCCTTTGGCTAGGTAATAGAAATACAGAGACTCACAGAGGAGAATAGCTTCAAGTTCCCAAGATAATCCACCCTTTTCTCCTTAACTGGCACTTACAATTTCAATAACACATTTGTAGGAGAAAGAATAAAACCCTTTACTTACTTACAGTAGTGAATAGATCAACAGCAAATTAACAAATAGACTAATTCTGACAAACTAAAGAAAAAGAAAATAACGCTCTCTGCAGCGAGGCGGGGCTCTCCTTTAATTCAGAGGCAAGGACAAATGATTGGTTAGCGCTGGATAGATTGACAGTCACCTCAGCCCAGAAAAATCCCTCCTAGCCACACCTACTTAGGTGCAGCACACAAGACTGTAAAAACTCCAGCCTCTAAAATGAGGATCCTCCATGGGCAGTCTTTTAAATGAAAGAAAGTCCTCCTCATGCAGCCACACTAGATGAAATTATTTAGCACTGTAGGACCCCCATATCCATGGGGGATCGGTTCCAAGATGACAACAACGTGGATGCTGAAAAATGTGGATTACAGTGAACACTATTTTAATAGTGAATGCCATACATAGCAGGTCTCTGGCTTCCTCTAGTGACCAGTTCTGCTAACTTCATATTTAGAAATATATATTTCTAGGAATTTTCTTTTAATATTTGTAGACCGTGGATAAGTGAATCAGCAGATACTGATACACATGTTGTAGCTGCACCTTGAAAAATGGGGTGGACTTCAGCAAATGTCCCTCAAGTGACTGGAAAAGTGACTGTAGACCACAGCCTAAGAATCCTTCTTTTCAGATGCTGGCTCATAGGAGACACGTGGTTTGTTTAAAATCCCGTATCAGAAATTGTTCTCTAGGTATAGGAAAAGGCACAGCGGCTATATTTTATTTATACCCCGCTTCTCTGCCCAAACAAATGCTCAAGAAGCCAACAGTGACACACTACTAAAAAGAAAACTTTTTTTGAGAATGAGAGAGAGAGAGATCGAGAGAGAACTCGGAGAACATCTGGTCTCCTTGAGAACCAAGCACAGCCCCCCACATGTCACATGTCAGTCACATCACTCTCCTTGAGAACCAAGCACAGCCCCCCACAAGTCCCTCGTCCCAACAAAAATGAGATTTTTTTTTGAAAAACCAGAATGAACTTATTTTCAATTCCAGTTTAATTTGGAGGAACCAGCCTTAGATCAGGGTGGGTCCTCTGAGGATGGAGACCCCTGAAGCATACCCAAATCAGTGTTAAGGATAGTAAGTGAGGAGAGGGCGCAGATCGTGTAGACGAGCTTCCCTCTCTGCTATGGTCAACCCTGGTGGGGAGGCTTCCAGGCCATCTGGACATCTGGAAAGGACACATTCTGTACATACACACATGGAAAGCTCTTCCACACAAGACGGAGGAGGAAGAGGAAGTAAGAAGAGACCCAACTGTCCTCAGGCTAAAACCACCTGGCAGCTGGTCAGCATCTTGAGCGCCTTTGAAAAGGAATATTTCCTGGGAGATTTAAGACCTCTTCTGCACTGATTAGCAGAAAAGCAGGTTATCCATTGCACAAATGAATGAGATGAAGGCCAGCTACTGCGTTCACATTGAAGCGGCAGACCAACTGACAAATGTCTCTGCTTGCACTCTAGTTACTGCTCGTGTCTTATTATTTCGCTTGTTTACGATATTTATAGACTGCTAGAATGTCTCCCAAGGTGGTCGGCAAGAAAATCAAATTAAAACAATCCATTATGGAAGAAACTCTGGTCCAAACATCAGCCGGAAAAGCAAAGAGGTGAAAAAATGGAACTCAAAAGCAATGATGGCATCTGGATATAGACATCTAGATAGCAGGAAAGTCCTAGCCAAGTAGAGATCACCCTGTTCTTCTTTAGACATACTGACCCATGCCTTAAGAATAGCCCTTCCAACCTTGGTACTTTCCAGATTTCTTAGACAACAAATCCAACCACTCCTACCTAGCAATTGTATTGTAAAACATCTGGAAAGTGCTGGAAGGCAATGTAGGTCAGAAATAGACATTATAGATGATCCATCATTAGAAGAAGGAATTCCTTAACCATTGAAGGTGTCTGAGTGCACAACAGTTTTTCTCCTTTCAGGTATTTTGGCAATTAGCTTGCTTTGGTTTGTGATTGGTCTTACACGCAGGTTTCCTTTCCAGTCTGATTTCTCAGACACAAAAATCTTGTCTCTATAATAGTAATACCTTCCACTTCTAGTCATGGGGTAATTATAGCACTTTTTGAAAGAAGCAGCACCAAAATGTGCCATTTGCCAGCCCCAGGGTCAACCATAGAATTATTTGTAATTTTTTTCTGATAGTCTTGTGGTTTCTGTCATTTGTATCAATGGTTCACATAATAAAAGATGACTTGGTACATTTTTCTTACCTAATATTATGATAAGCTGATATATTTTTTAGCTCCATAACAATTCATAAAATGGGTTAAGCTTTTTCTACTGATGCTTTGCTCATGAGAGATCTCGTATTGTTGTGCTGTCAAGTCACCCCCAACTTATGATGACTCCATGAATGAGCAACCTCCAAGATGCCCTGTCCTCAACAGCCCTGCTCAGACCTTGCACCTGCAGCCTGTGGGAGTCAATCCATCTCATATTTGGTCTTCCTCTTTTCCTGCTGCCCTCCACCTTTCCCAGAAATTATTGCCCAAAGTAGGACAGCCTCAGCTTCACTTTTTTCCCCCCTCCAGAAATGATTCAGGCTTGATTTGTTCTAGAATCCACTTCTGTGTCCTTCTGGCACCCCAGGGTATCCGCAAGGCTCTCCTCCAGCACCACAAATCAATCTTTCTCCTATCATCTTCCTTAACTGTCCAGCTTTCACACCATATGGTCTCGTAGCCACCCATTTTTGCTCCGCACAGCATGGACAAGTAAACCATTACAAAAAAGGCTGTATTTGGTACCTTGCTCGACCCCAAGGAGCCCATGGAAAGACAGCGACCTTAGTCCCTGGTGCCTTGGGCTGCAGATGGCCCAGCATAAAGCAGATGCCCTTTTCAATTCTCATTTCATCTGTCTCTTGTGCACAGGTAAGCATCGTTGACAGGAAGGAGGGCCAACAACAGAGGCTTAATATTATTCAGCCAGGTAGTCCAGTTACTTGGCCGGATAGCTCAGTCCTTTAGGTCTCCGGCTGCAGAGCCAGAGGTTGGGAGTTCGATTCCCCACTTATGCCTCCTGGGAGAAGAGCCAGCCTGGGTGGCCTTGGGCAAGCTGCACACAGTCCCATAGCTCCCCTAGTGGAACGGAATGGTAAAGCACCTCTTTGTATTCCCTACTTTAAAAATCCTGAAAAGAGTGGCCGTTAGTCAGAATTTACTTGACGGCACATCATGAAGATGAGGATGAGAATGATTAGGGAGTCCTATCAGCCCATCTGATTGCACAGCTTAACTAATACCTCAAAAGCTTGAAAGGAATCACTCCCACAAATACTCAGTTACTTCTTCCTTACAATTAATTCCTCTTCCCAAGAACGGGCATAATGACAAAGTGGCGTACTTTTTTCCCCAAAGGATATTTTCTTACATCACTTTGAATTCAGTTTTACATTCACTTTCAATATGTGATTTGTTTAGTTCTGTTTTAATATTATAACTGACTGGCCAGAATCCTGCTGGAGATTTACACCAGTGTAAACAGAAGTGCATAAACTACAGTGGTGATTTGCTGCTAAATAATGACTAGAATCTTTTTGCTTAGCAGAGCAAGTTGCACTAGAGGAGGCCCAATGGGGATTTGGTGTACCAACACCTCTGTTAATTTTTTGGTGTTAGTTTTTTTTTTTTTTCTTTTCTGTCTTCTTATTCGTTACTTTATTAGTAGTAAAATAAAATTAATTTTAAAAAGGACATAGGTCAACAAAACCTTGCGTTCAGACTATTGTGAGTGGAAATAAATGAAATGCACAATTAATTTTGTTCTGTACTTCAAAAGCTAAGTAATTTCTTTTGTTTTTTAAGACTGAAGTTAGCAAGAGAAAAGGAAGCAGGAAAGAAAACCGGGGGGGGGGATTAATTTAACCATATGTCCACAGAAAAGTTGCTGCTAACAGTACATTAGATGGGCCTATACATTGATAATATGTCCTCATAATAGATATAATATGTTCAACGGCATTGTGTAAAGATACAC